TCCAGGCCTCCCGAAGGGGGTCCGAGCAGGCGGGATCGAGGGATCTTGAGGCTTGAGGTGGGGCCAGAGTTTCTCCACACCGATGGCGCCGATGCGTCGCCGTCGCCGCCGATGCGTCGCCGATGCGTCGCCGATGCATCCGTGATGCACTGGCGATGCGGCGCGATCCTCCGACCCCGTCCACTCGGACCCCGTCTGGGAGGCGAGGAGGAGGAGGAGGAGGAGGAGGAGGAGGAGGAGGAGGAGGAGGGAGGAGGAGGAGGAGGAGGAGGAGGAGGCCTCTTGTGGAGGGGCCTCGGGCGTTAGAGAGGCCCCGCCACGAGGAGAGCGCAGGCGGCCTCAGGCCTGTGGGCGAGCGGCAAGTGCGAGCTGGCGAAGGGCGGGCCGCGTGTGCCCCGCCTGTTCTTCCTCCTCCTCCGCCTCCTCCTCCACCTCCTCCTCCTCCTCCGCCTCCTCTTTCTCCTCCTCCTCCTCCTCCTCCTCCACCTCCTCCTCCTCCTCTGCCTCCTCTTCCTCCTCCTCCTCCTCCTCCACCTCCTCCTCCTCCTCCTCCTCGGCAGGCAGGCGGCCTCAGGCAGCGAAAGCAGGTGTCCCAAGAGGCGAGCGGCCAGTGCGAGCTGGTGAAGGGCGGGCAGCGTGTGTCCCGCCGGAGAGTCAAGCCATCATTCCGCTGTGCTGGGCCAGGAGCGTCGGAGGCGGTCGTCAAGGGGTCTGGTTTCGGAGGCAACTCTTTGCCAAGGTCTCCTGTGCACCAGCAGGGTCAAGGAGCATACAGAGGGAGCCCTGTTCGCGCTCTGGGCTTCCCGAGTCGAGGAGGGGGGGGAGGAGGAGGAGGCGAAAGGATTGCGGGGAACGCGGAGGAGGGTGAGGTGGGGAGGGCGATGGCGCCAACAAGGCGGCGGATCCGACAAACGAGCACTGAATTCAATTTAGCACCCCTAAGTGCATGCACTGTTTGTGGAACGTCTTGCAGTCATTTCAAGGATCGAGCGCCGGTCGTTTCGAACATGGGACTCTCGCTTTAGCGCCGCGCGCATTTTTTGGCAGGGTGGAGGGATTCTTCTAGTCAGTGCCCGACGCTTCCACGCAACTAGCGCTGCACGGATCTTCGGCTGCTCATTGCTTCTCGCGTGGGTTACGCGCCAGAGCGATGCAAGGCAATTCCTTTTCAACACGAGCCCTCGCCAAGGTCAAAGGCCCAAGTGTGCTGCTCTTTCAAGGGGGGATGCTTCTCGCAGTGATGGGGAGGACTCGTAGGTGCGAGTGAGGAGAGGGCATGGGACGAGGGGTCAATTGCAGCATCGCTTGCGCATTTGTGGTTTGCTCTGGTCCTCCTCCTCCTCCTCCTCCTTCTCCTCCTCCTCCTCCTCCTCCTCCTCCTCTCTCGTCCCTGCTTCCTCCTCCTCCTGCTCCTCCTCCCTCCTCCTCTTCCCTCCTACTGACTGTTCAGCCTGTGCTCGCCCTTCCGCGGTGCCGCCGAAGAAGCGAACGTAGAGACCAACGCCCATCGTCTTCAAGCCCGGGTTGCGCCGTCCGGCGCGACCCGCCCAGCACTCGCTCCTCTTTCCTCCCTCCCCCTTGTCCTCATCCTCGAGGCTCGGCGCTGGCGGCCCTTATCCTACAGACAGGTGCAGCCGTCGACCTCTCCCTGCGCACACCAAAGAGGGTGGCAGGGAGGGGGCCTTGGGAAAAAGGTTCGATCCGTCCGATGGTGGGGCCGACGCTCGCGACGACGGGGAGAAGGCTGCGACACGAGGTGCCGAGGAAGGGCGAACCGAGAGACCGATGCTTTGCCTCCCACGCCTCCTCCCCACTCCATCTCCTCCTTCTATGCCACTGAATCACCCTCTCCCGTCCTCTTCCTTCTCCTCCTGCTCCCCTTCCTCCTCCTCTTTCTCCTCCTCCTCCTCCTCCTCCTCGTCATCATCATCATCATCATCATCATCATCATCATCATCATCATCATCATCATCATCATCATCATCATCAACAAAAACAACAACAACAACAGCAACAACATCAACAACATCATCATCATCATCATCATTTAAAGGCTGCCGCCTCTGCCGCCGACCCCAAAGAAGGCTCTCGAGTTGTTCAGTGGCGTTTCTGGGTGGCTTTGGGCTTTTTGGTTCTCAGGAAGAACCGGAGCTTGCTCAAGTGAGCGCGAGCGCGATTAGCGTTGCATTGCATGTTTCTGCGTTCGCTGCTGTTGCTGCCTGTTTGTTTTCGCACTTCGAGTTTCGACACGCACCCTCTCGCGCGGTTCGTGCCCCGTAGGAGGTTCCATCCAAGAAGCTCCCAGAGGCTTTCAATGTGTCCCCAAGATGGTCCCGAATCGTCTCCAAGAGTCTTCCTTAGACATCGTAGCACATTTGGTTGATGTTTGTTTTCTTTTGTCGATTTTTGTTTTAGTTTGTAATTGTTTTAGTTTGCCGATTGTTGTTTTAGTTTGTAGGTTTTTGCGTTAGTTTGTCGATTTGTGTTTTAGTTCGTCGGTTGTTGTCGCCCCCTTGTCTAGGCACCGGGGAAAGGGGGCAGGGGGAGGCGATTCCGAAGTATGTCGTGAGGCC